AAGATGAAAATAAAATCTGGGATGAAAAGGCAGAAATAACTACAGATAAAGCAGATTAAAAATAATATTATAAACAAATATATATCAGTACATTTGAAAACCTAGAGGAACTAGATACATTTCTAGAAAAACACAAATGCCCAGATTACCACAATAAGAGATAAGTAGACCTTGAATACACACCATTAACCACTGAAGAGAGAAAAGGTAATTTCCCACTCCAAAAAGCCTGAGGCTACGATGGCTTTATAGGTAAGAGACACTAAATTTCACTGATCAGATAATTCCTATTATTTACAGGTTGTTTCAGAAAATAGGAGGATACGGAAAAGGTGTCCCACTAGTGTTCTAATTTATTGTAAAAATCTTTATACCAAAACTAGATATGGATTGTACAAGAACAAAAATTGTAGGTATCACTTTGAATTGTGAGTGTATAAAACCTAAAGAGATACCAGGCTAACTAAATGTACTGCTTCAAATGGGGCTTATCCCAAGAACTAGAGATGGTTTTGTTTTATAAAGAAATCAGTTAAGTTGGCCACCTTAATGGACCAAAGGGAAAAATAACACGATTATCTCAATAGATTTAAAAAAGTGTTGAATATAGTTCAAGAGCCATTTATGATGAAAGCTCTTGGAAATGTAGCTATTGAAAAGAACTTCCTCAATCACAAAGAGGCTGTCCTCTAAAAATCTACAGCGAAAATCATGCTTCATGGAAAAACTTCCTTTTGATGTCAGGAACTAGATAGACCTGCTCGCTGTCATCACCACTGCCTGGTGTAGTACCAGAGGGCTTGGCCAATGAAGACAAACTTAAGAGAAACAAGAAGGATAAGGGTAAGAAAAAAGTTATTGGAGATTAGAAGTATATATAAATAACCTATGAGAATTAATGAACAGTTAGAACCAACAACAAATTCCAACAAAGTTACCCAGAAAATAAAATACCATTTTTAATAACTGTAAAACCCACAAAGTAATCTAACGAAAAAAATGTATGGGATTTTTATGGAAAAGGTTTATGATTTTAAATGTGAATGCAACCAAATGGGAATTAATAAAGGGAAATATTCTGTTCATGGATGCAAAACTTAATATTGTAAAGCTATCCATTCTCCCCCAAATGTATAAACTCAAAAGTATAACAATCAAAATCCCAGGAGGATTTTTTGGGGGAAGATGGCCAAGACTCTAAAATTCATATGCAAGCATAAATAACCACTATTAGCTAAATTCGTTTGAAAAATAAAAGCAAACAGAGAGGAATCACCCTACCTTGGGTCATGCTGCAAAAAAAAGCCACAGTGATTAGAACAGTGTGGTACTGGCAGGAAACAGGCAGTCAGACCATTGAGTTCAATGCCAAGTCCAGAAACACACCAGACATGAGAAGCTGACATATGAGGAAAGTCACTTCACAAGTCAGGAGGAAGGATGGAAATTTTTTTTTTTTTTTTTTTTTTGGTATATGATACTAGAAAATTGCCTTAGTGGGAGTCTGGATATGAAAGAAAGTATATGCCTATCTTAACCACTCTAAACAATTTCAGACAGATTGAAGACCTAAGTGCAAAGCTAAAATATAAAGTCAACAGATAAAAACATGGAATAACTTTGAGATTTTGGAGTAGGGAAAGATTTTTTTTTAAAGGCCATTATAATGGAAAAAATGACAACTCCTTTGTCTCCACCAAACTGAGGGAGCACTGGGGCTGAGTAGTTGTTCCCTAAGTGTCTTTCTCTCTGATGTCATTCCGTGGTCCAGGACTTACTCTGGGGCAGTCACAGAGACGGTGGCCTGGCTCTTGATTTGGCTCACTGGGGAGTCATGACAGGTGCTGAGATTTAAGCAGAGGAGAGCCGGCAGGGTGCCTAAAGCAGAATAGGGTGACTTGATGGTTCTTTATTTTCTTGGCCTGAATTGCTGCTCTCATCAGGGCATTCAGACTTGTTCTCTAGAGGAATCTCTTAGCAAGGAGCCTCAAACACAAGTGTGGCTGGCCAAGAGACTGTGAAAACAGTGTGGGCCCCGGACACTCCGCTGCTATCTACACGGTCAGGGTGAGTGTGGGCCACTGTACTGCAAGGAGTGGGCTGGTCATTGATACCTCACAACCAACCCCGATGGAACTCCAGAATCATGCCAGGAGCTTGTTAAAAATAAATTGCAAGGCCCCACCCGGAAACACTCTGATTCAGTAGGTGTGAAAGGCAGCTCAGGAATCTTTGTCTGACTGGCTCCCAAGTGTGGCCAGGGTTGGACCTGCCAGGCTGGATCACTTTTCCAGGGTTCAGGAGATCAGAACTCAGCTCCCAGGGGTGCAGAACCTCCCCTGGGTCCTCCCCTGGAGAGGTGGCGGGGGGTAGGAGGTGGAAGGGTATACACATCAGGTGTGCCCCGGGGCAGGATGGGAGCACAGTGGTTGGGATGGAAGGAGGAGAGGAAGGGGTCCAGCCAGCAGGCTTGGGCAGAAGAAGAGCAAAGGTGCCAGGGAAAGGCCAGCTATCACCCACCTTTCTCCTTTGTGAGGGTCCCACTCCCCACACCTTGGCACTGATCCTGTACTGGAATGGTCTGTTAATTGCCTGCTTCCTTTACCAGCCTAGGACCTGTTGGCAGGCAAGAAGCTTGCATTCATTTATGCATTCATTCATTCCACAAATATTTATTAAGATATTCATATGCCAGGGACAGGCACTAATAGGGAACTAGTCTGAATCAGCCCACAAGAGCTTCCAGTCTAGTAAGGAGGCAGGCGGTAAGACCCAGCAGCTCTAATGAGGTGTATTAAATGTCACGATGGAGAACCAGCAGACACCTAATAGGGACACCCATCTCTGACTTGAGAGATCAGGAAAGGCTGCCTGGAAGAAGTGAAGTCAAAGATGGTGATGAATGGAGCAATCAAAGAGGAATGGGGATGTTGGTTTCAGCCCCATATGGAGGAGTTGTTACTTTAGTGCTGGGCGGTGTGATAGGAGGCAATGAAAGGGTCTCACCCTCCATCTGCATGGTACCAGCCTGGTACCTGACCCAGGGCAGCAGCAGGGAATGTGTGGTGAATAGGCTGCTTCTCCCCAGCTGAACTGGATGGGCTGGCCCTAGCTCCTGCCCACTTCCCCCAAGATCCCTTTCCCATCATTCCCTTCTGTTCCTAAGGACTGGGCCAGCCCCGCCTTGGGGAGCCAGGCAGTGATTTTCCTTTAGCACCTGGGAATATTAGATGCTTCTTCAAGTTAGTATGGATCACCGTCCAGAACTGGGGAAACTGAGGCTGGGAGAAGGGCTTGATGTTCCGGGAGTCCCAGAAGGACTGGGCTTCTCTGATTTCTCAAGGCTGTTAAAAACTGCTCCTAATGGGCGCCTGGGTGTCTCAGTCAGTTAAGCCACTGACTCTTGATTTCAGCTCAGGTCATGATCTCAGGGTCACGAGATGGAGCCCCACATTGGGTTCCACACTCAGTGGGAAGTCTGCCTGAGATTCTCTCTTCTCCCGCCTCTCCATTTGCCCCTCCCCGCCAATAAATCTTTAAAAAAAAAAAAAAAACTCCTAAAAGAATTAAATTACTCTATACTCCTGGGCATAGTGTCCTAGGCCAGGGTCTATGTTTGGGCCTTCAGGGCACCCCCAGAGCTAGCCCAAGGCCTGGTGTGCACTAGGTGTGTGAACTGCATGGACACGTTTCCTTTCCTGACCTTGGAAGTCCTACACCCACCATGAATCTGATCCTGAGTTGGCCTTGTGCTCTGAGGACTTGGTGACAGAGATGACCATTGCTACCATTTTACTGATCATGTTTTCTGTCAGGCACCAGTACAGTCTTACCTGTTTGTCCCTGAAAACCTTGGGGGCTGGGCTGGGGGTCTATGAGAAGCTCAGCAGACACTGGCGGAGACTGAGACTCTGGCAGGGAAGGGGTTAAGGACCCTCAGAATCAGGTCATGCAAAGGTTAGCCAATAGGATTGTCAAGTCTCCTTGGGATAACCCCCCCCACACACACACACACACACACCAACCCAGGACTAGGGGCTGTGACCTGAAGGAAGCTCCCCTTTGTGACCCCAGGATCTGGCCTGCTGGGGAGGGGTGCTCCCATTCCCCAGTTGCCTATGAAAACAGCATGACCCCCTTTTCAGCCTTTCAAATTGGCAATCATTGCCTTAGGAATCAACACAGTCCTATTGGTTGCTAAGTGGAAAAAGCAGACTACCAAACACTGACCTCAATTTCTGTGAAAACTACATATCCTTGTTTCTGTAAGAGGCTGGAAGGAGATGCATCCACCTGTTAATGGTGGTTGCCACTCAGCATTCTCTGATGAAATGTCTTTCCTTTTGCTCACCCACATTTTCTAATTTTTCTCCAGAGGCCATGATTACCTGGTCATGGTCCCAGGGTCCTGGGATCGAGCCCTGCATCGGGCTCCCTGCTCCGTGGGGGGCCTGCTTCTCCCTCTCCCACTCCCCCTGCTTGTGTTCCCTCTCTCGCCGCGTCTCTCTCTGTCAAATAAATAAATAAAAATCTTAAAAAATAAATTAAAAAAGAGTAAGGAGGATGGAAGTGGCAAGGAGCAAAGTCGGGTGGTATGGGTGGTACCCTGAGCGGGCCGGGTGGGCGTTCTGCCTTTCCACCAGGAAGGCGGGGCTTATTTGCATAAGCAAACGAGGGGGTTCCAGCCCCGCCCTTCCAGCCTGAGGGCGGCCGGGCGCAGTCGGGGGCTGGGGGAGCCGCCTGCCCGGAACCGCCCGCGTGCCCCGCTCGGGGCGCACGTTGGTGCGGTCTGGCGGCTTGCCGCCTGCCTCTCCGGACTGCGCGCCCCGGGGCAGGGCTGGCTGAGGCTGCTGGCCGGTGCCCAGCGGGCGCTGAGGGGGCGGGGAGGAAGAGCAGCGGCGCACGTGGGGTGGGAGCAGGAACCCTGGGCTGCGCGCGGCTGGTCTCCAGGGGCGGCCAGGTGCTGAGTCTAACTTGCCCTCGGGGCTTCTGTTCCCTAGATCCACTTCCCGGATGTGGAGCGGGTCGAGTGGGCCAACAAGGTAAGGCCGAGGTGGGCCTGGCGGAGCTCGCCTCTTGGGCTGAGTGACCCCACACTGGATGGGGGCGAGGTGGCCACGGACAAAAGCCTGCCGGCAGTAACCTTCCCCACTCCCCCTTCCTACCCTCAGGGTTCTTCTCGTTACCAATGACTTTCTTTAAAAAACAAACACCTTTTTTTAGTGTGAAATTAATGCAAGGCGGTAGCAGAAATATTAGAAAATACAGGGAAGGATAGAGAAAAATGCGGCCCTGCAGGAGGCCAAGGTCAGGGCTTCCGAGGGAGAGGAGGGCAGTATCCCACCACCGCTGTGGCCCTTCGCCAGCCCACATCTGCTACCTCTCCGAGCGGTTCCGTCATCCGTGCCATGGGAATAATTATGGTCCCTGCCTTGTGAGGTTGTGAGGATTCATGAGGTAATGAAAGCCCCACAGTGCCCGGGCCGTCAGGAACACTGTCATCATCAGAATGACTGCTGTTAGATCCTGGGGGGAGCTCCCTTGGGCCCTGCTGCCCGAGGCCTCAGGGAGGGCCCAGCTCTGTGACTGCTGGTCTGGCCCTTTCTTACAGATGAGGAACAGAGTCTGGCCCCTGCCTGATCAGCCCAAACCTGTCTCCTAGATGTGGAGACTCCAGTATCTTCCCACCCCTTCAAGTATCCTGATTTGGGACTTTTTCTAATACAGACCTTGCCTCTGTTCTGGTTAGAACAGCCTGTAGCAGGAATGACTTAAGTTTAGGTATAAAGAAGGACTTCCTGATGGTTTTTGAGCCAAGGCTGATAGTCTCGTGTTACCAGAAATGTCATTGCCAATGTGGATCAAAAACCGTTCCCAGCCTGCTGGCAGAAGTTGGAGGAAGTGGAGTGCTCCTTTCGAAGGATTTCTGTGGATTAATGCAGGGCCCAGGGCCCCTGGGACAGACCGTATTCTTCCTGCCTGTGTGTCCACTAGTTCACGGGTGCCCTCATGTGTTCCATCCTTCTTTCTTGCATTGACACACAGAGCCCCACACAAGGTGCTGGGGATGTGTGACTGGTGCGATGAGCCTCCTGCCCTCAGCTCAGGGCATGGATGGGGAGACAGCTGTGTAGACAGACCACACGCTGGGGCACCACGTGTGTCCGGTCTTCGTGCTCAAGACCACAAAGCAGCGAGTCAGGAAGCTGGGACCAGCCCTGAGGGGGCCCTTGAGAAAGTGAAACCTCACTGCCTGAGCCTCCTCTGATGATGGGTCTGGGGAGCGCAAGGTGCGTCTGTAAACTATGACCCACGTCCAGGAGGAGGAGGAGGGCGAAGCCTTTGGCCCAGAAAGAACATGTCTGCCACTGCTGCTCCTTTCCTACCCGTCCCTGGCACCCTCCCCACCCCTCCCTGGCCCCCTCCCCCTCCCTCCCCAGTACCCTCCCCCTCCCCCCACGCCCTGCCCTCCCTTGCTTCCCAGACCTGGGCCATGAGTCGCTCTGCTGCAGAGATCAGCCAAAGGCGGCCTTTTCTGATTGCTAGAATAAGTTAAATCCACAGGAAACAGTCTAACTTTGTTTTCTGTGATTTCTTTTCCTTAAGCCTCTGGTACCTGCTACTTCTTGATTATACCACAGTGTCGACTCTGATAGCTTCTGTTTTAGCACAGAATCATAAGTTTCATAATACTAAGTTTAGTGACTATTTCATGGTACTCTGCAAAACAGCACCAAATCCTGGGGTCCCACTGCCTGGGCACGTGTGAGAACCACTGCTGTAGTTATGCAATGTTTGATGGACACGTGGACGGATGCGGGGGAGATGGCTGGGCAAGCAGGCCTGTGGGTGCTGCAGCATAAGGGCCACGGGACCCCCAACCCTGGGTCAGGTTGTCCCGGGCAGCCCTGGGTCTTGGGTGGGGGAAACAGACCTGACCCCCAAGAGCCTCCTCTTGTTGCCACAGATCATCTGTCAGACCTGGCCCTACCTGAGCATGATCATGGAAAACAAGTTCCGGGAGAAACTCGAGCCCAAGATCCGGGAGAAGAGCATCCACCTGAGGACCTTCACCTTCACCAAGCTCTACTTTGGACAAAAGGTGGGTGATGTCTCCGGAGGGGCAGTCTGTCTACCATGCAGTCTTTTCTCTGTCCCAGACCCTGCCTCAGGTCACTCACCTGACTCAAAATATCCCAAGGGAGCTCCCTGGGGATGCCGCCCCTACCTGCAGTTTTCAGCCTCTCAGCCTCAGTGTAGACCCTGCACCCCCACGTCCCAGCACCAACATCTCTGCAGGTTCAGAGGAAGCCTGGCTCAGAGAGAACAAAAAGGAAAGGTGGGAAATGAGCCCACTTTTCTTGAGCCAAATTTTGAAAACGTGCCATGCAGTAGAAGCCAGCCAGATACGAAAATGTACAAGTCATGCTTGCTAAGGCCTCAGCAAGGAAGAACACACCCCCCCGGGGAGGGGAGGACAGTGCCTCAAAGCAGGGGACAGTTCTCCACCAGTTGATCGGTTCTGTCAGTTAGGGTTACAAGCCTCACACTACTTCTGCGAAGCTCATAGGTGACTCAGGCTAGAAGAGGTTTGCGTTTGACATACCCAACATCATGTCCCTATTCTTGATGGCTTCCTGCCCCACTTCTGCTGTCCCAAAGTGCCCCATTGATGTGAGTCTTATTTTTGTCATTTGGCTCCGTCAGTAGAGCATGTGACTCCTGATCTAGGGATTGTGAGTTTGAGCCCCACGTTGGGCGTAGGGTTTACTTAAAAATAACTGCATCCCGTGGGCACAGGACTGCCTGATGTCCATCCCTTGGTAAACCAGACACACTGGCATCTGGTCTGCTGGGGGACAGGCAGGTGTCAGAGCGCAGGCCAGCCTGCCCCGCTAGCCGCCTGAGTGGGGAGGGCAGTGGGCCTGCCAGACCCATGGAGATTCTGGTCTGTGCCTCTCAGACTCAGCCAGGACTCGTTTGTCCCGCATCTGTTAGTTCCTTTGTTCATTCCCTGCTTCATTCGTGTCGACTCACGGAGCATGGCTGTGTGCAGAGGCACCGTAGACAGAAATGGGTGTGACTGTGCCCCTGCCTTTGGGAAGTTCCCTGTCCCGTTATGGAGACAGACACACAAACTGGTGGGCCACCACACGGCCGTGTACTCCTCCGTGCAGGAATGCCCGAACTCAGGAGCGGAGGGGTGTTGGGGGCTGTGGTCGTCCAGGAAGACTGCCGGGAGTGAGTGATGTCTGAGCTGGCATTTGGAGGATTCAGCAGACTGCTGTGTTTAGAGAAGAGCCCGACGCCTGTGGGGTGTGGTGCTGTTGGGAAGCCATCCCTCGCCACAGCAGAAGCAGGCCCAGCAGCGACTCCAGGCTGCAGGAGGTCCCTTACAGTGCCCCACTCTCCTCCCAGGCTTCCGCTGGCTTTTCTGGGTCTTTACCATCCAGGCCCTGGAGGCCAGGGTGGAGCCAGGTGCCATGCAGCCTGAAGTGCCTATGATTTGGAGGACCCTCTTAAAAAAAAGGACACAAAATTTAAAATGTAAAATCAGGACAAAAATGAATATTAAATAAATATGAGAAAGAATAGGCAACCACAGCAAATTAAACACTTTAAAAAGCTGACATATTTTGGCGCTTGGGTGGCTCAGTCGTTAAGCGTCTGCCTTCGGCTCAGGTCAGGATCCCAGGGTCCTGGGATCAAGCCCCGCATCGGGCTTCCTGCTCGGCGGGAGGCCTGCTTCTCCCTCTCCCACTCCCCCTGCTTGTGTTCACTCTCTCGCTATGTCTCTCTCTCTCTGTCAAATAAATAAATAAAATCTTTAAAAAAAGAAAAAAGCTGACATATCACACACATCACAAACTCTGGAAAAACCATGTGATGATTTTAATTAACTGCTCAAGATGTCCCTATAATACCCTTTTTTTAAAGATTTTATTTATTTATTTGACAGAGAGAGAGATCACAAGTAGGCAGAGCAGCAGGCAGAGGGAGAGAGTAAGCAGGCTCCTCACTGAGCAGGGAGCCTGATGCGGGGCTCGATCCCAGGACCCTGGGATCATGACCTGAGCCGAAGGCAGACGCTTAACCAACTGAGCCACCCAGGCACCCCCTATAATACCTTTTGCCCTGCATTTTTGGCTCCGTACTCTTTGATAAGCTTTTTATGTGACAGTGCATTTGTAAACATCACTTTCTCTTTTTTTAAGACTTTATTTTTTTACTTGAGAGAGAGAGAGAGGGAGCACAGAGGGAGAGGGAGAAGCAGACTCCCCACTGAGCAGGGAGCCCGACGTGGGACTCGATCCCAGGACTCTGGGATCATGACCTGAGCCGAAGGCAAACGCTTAACTTACTGAGCCACCCTGGTGCCCTGTAAATGTCACTTTCTAAAGAAAAAATAGAAAGATAATGGAACCTCCTCTAGTATGGCTGATTAATTTTTTTTCTCCAACATTTCATTGTGAAAAATCTCAAACATACAGAAAATGTGAGAGTATTATGCAGTGGACCCTCTGGATTGTATGCTAACCTTTTGTTATATTTGCTTTAGCACATATCCACACATCTGCTTTTCCTCCTCACTTTTTTTTAATGCATTTTAAACTAGATCACAGACATTAGTAAACTTCACCCCTAATTGGTTCATCATGCATATAACTCAAATTCAAATGATACTTTTTTTATTCTTAATAATCAGAGCCCACTCTAATGCCCACTAGCCTCCTGACAGGAGGCAAAAAGAGGAGTGGGGTGGGGGAGATTACTTAGGAGCTCAGCCCTCGGCCCCAGAGGCTGGGGGACCATGGCCGTGGTGTGGGACACTTTAATGTCTAGGGTCAGATCCCTGCCTTCTTCTCTTGCCCTTGGGGGGCCAATTCCTACTCATATGCCAGAACTATTTAAATGCCACCTCCTCCAAAAGCATTCACTACCCTCGGTCTCCCGAAGGAAGGCACTCCTGAAGTCCCCTGATCCCCATGTGACAGCAGGGGCTGCAGCTTATCATACCCTACCCCCACCATTGTTTCCTCTGCTGGGCTTCCGACCCATGAGGGCAGGCTCAGCCTGTCTTGCTCCTTACCTTCTCCCCAGGCTAATGCCTGGCATAGAGCAGGTGTTCTGTGAATATCTGTGGTAGGAGAGAGAGAGAGAAGGAAGGTTGCATATCCTAGGGAGGGGAGGTATCATAGGTCCAAGGACAGACGGGCCACAGTGTGAATTTCTCTGTTTGTGCCGCGTCCCAGGAGTGTAGTGGTCACGTTGTTGTGGACAAAGCCAGTGCTGGGCAGGGGGCCAGCAGCCATCCCTTGCTGCGAGATCCCCGCTGACCTAGCCCTCTGGCCTCTCTTCCAGTGCCCCCGGGTCAACGGGGTCAAGGCGCACACTAACCAGCGCAATCGAAGACGGGTGGTCCTGGACCTGCAGATATGGTGAGCCCTCTTGCCTGCGCGGGCCAGGTGCAGGGGACAGGGGAACACCGTGGGAGAGCAGCCAGTTTGAAGATGGAGTAGCGTAGTTACATTCTAATTTGGGTGGGAAAGCACCTCACAGCACCCCCCCATCCCCCCCCACTCCACCGCCCTGGGCTGGAGCACAAGGTCCCTGCTTGGGACGGGAAGAGTATCAGGAGAATGGATAGTCCCAGGGAAGCCGCTTCTCTTTGACCCCTCAGCCCAGGCCTCACTTCTCCCATCAGACTAGGCACCAGGCAGGCTCTGGGTCCCAAGGCCCAGGCCGCAGAGCTTTCTTGGAGGTCAGGGCTAGTCACCTGGAGGCTCAGACCAGCTGCCTTACAGAGGATGGAGAAAGAGGGAGCAAGTACGACAAGAAGATGTGGGGACTTGTGGTAAGGCCCAGGGAGCTCTGAGCACAGGCTGGGAGAGATCTGTGGGAGAGCCGGACTCTGGAGCCTAAGGGAAACAAGGATGCAAAGATACAGGAGGGACTAGTTCAGTGTGTCGGGCAAAAGTACCTCTTTTGAAAGATGTTTGTAGCAGGCTTGAGTCTGAGAGAAGGGACATTCAGTCTAGGAAGTCTTCCTGGAGGTGGTGAGCTTTTAATTGTGCTTTAAAGGACCAAGGATTAGGGGTGCGTGGGTGGCTTAGTCGGTTGAGCATCTGGCTCTGTTTTGGCTCAGGTTATGATCTCACGGGTGTTGGGGTCCAGCTCTGCACTCAGTGGGGACTCTGCTTGAAGATTCTCTTCCTCTGCCCTTCCCCTCATGCACTCACTCGTGCTCTCTCTCTAAAATAAATCAATCTTAAAAAAATAAAAGGACCAAGGATCAACTGTGAAAGTTCCAGAATGTTGCATTCCTCTCCAGCATCTCATTTCCTGTCCTTAGCCCAGAGGCTGGCGCTGAGAGCATACTGGGTAGATCGGAGCCCACTCTGGGAACACCCATCCCCACTTGGGGGACATGTTGGGATGATGATGGCTATTGGGCACTCCTGGCTCCAAGGCTGTGCCACCAGAACCGCCAGCGTCACCTGGCACCCACTTAGCTTCTCAGCCAGCTCAGGCAGCCCCTGGGGTCCCTAGGTTGCCCCCCTTCCAGAGGGTACCCAGCGTTTCTGTGACGTCCAGCCCCTCCACCTGTCCTGCACATATGTGAAGGCTGCCCCCTCTCTCCCCTTCGTCTTCTCCTTCAGTCCTTTGACGGGGTCTCAGGATCTTTACCCTCAAAGGCACCCATTCTGTGCTCCCTGTGCCCATCACTTGGTAAGAGCCGCCAGCTAGACTCAGGTTCCTGTGTCCCCGGGGAAGAGACCGAAGCAGAGACAGGGTCGGCGCAGAGCAGCAGCAGAGGGGTGGGCGGTATGTTCATCAAGAGCCCCTCCTTCACATCTGTGGGGTGTCGTGGGGCAAAGTGGTGCCCAGAGTCACTGACCTTGTGGGCAGAGGATGTGCATTGGGCACCTGGGCACAGGGACCTGGGGGCTGCCTCCCAGGGCTGGGCCTAGGTCAGTGTTGCTGCACAGCTGAGAGAGGCTGAGGCTTTGAGGAGGCCAAAGCCAGGTGATGCAGGGCTCAGGCCTGGTGGCTGGCTGCCTGAGCCCGGGCTGTGTGGCCCTGGGCAAGTTTCCTGGTCTCTCTGAGCGGTGGACCTGCCCTTCCTCCCGGCCTTCCTTCTCCCTCCCCACTTTCAGCTACATTGGGGACTGTGAGATCAGTGTGGAGCTGCAGAAGATACAGGCTGGTGTGAGCGGGATTCAGGTGCGTGGAACCTGGCGGCATTGCCCCCCCACCCTTCCTGCCCCTGGGGTGGGAAGCTGGGCAGGGGGAAGCCGGCTCTCACTGGAGCGGGCTGCAGAAGAGGTGAGGACACCACACACAGGCTGATAATGATCAAGGGGCTCCAGGCCGGAGGTCGCAGGCCCAGAAAGTGGTGACTGGGCTTTACCAACCTTCTGCTTGGCCCCGGGGCCCCACACCTGCCTCTGTTTGTTCAAGTCCCCCCAGGGAGACATGAGCTGCCCAGGGAAGGGCGAGGTTCTGCTTATGGAGTAATGCAGAAGCCGTGCTTAGAAACGGGGTGGATCAAGGAGGGGGTAAAGAGAGGAGGAGTACCAGCGCTGGGGCCCTGCTGGCTGGGCTGGCTGGAGATGGGGGCAAGGCTGCAGGCCCCTCAGGCCCAGCGCACCTGTGGACGGCAGTGGTGGCAAGCCCACGGCCCCTGGTCGCCAGCAGAGGGGTAGCAGCCCTGTGCAGGTTTCTGTCCCCCGTGTGTGGTTCCTGTTGCCACAGCAGGTGGCCCTGACATTTGGGGGCAGCCTGGGCATGAGCGAGACAGCAGTGGCCTCGGCCGAGCACGGCAGGTGCAGGGAGGAGGGAGGCTGAGGTCCTGTTTGCGCCCTCCGTACCCCTCCAGTTGCAGGGCACGCTGCGGGTCATCCTGGAGCCCCTCCTGGTGGACAAGCCCTTCGTGGGAGCCGTGACTGTGTTCTTCCTCCAAAAGCCGGTAGGTCCTGCAGAGGGACACAGGCCCGTGTTTCCCTGTGAGTAAGCACTCGCCTGCTGGGCCCCAGGTGCTAATGTGAGTCCAAGGACGGAGCTGCCGAAACCAGCCTAGACCCGGGCACTCCACACTCCTCGTGTCCCGTGTCTGAGGCAACCTGAGGGGCTCGGCTCTGCTCTCCCCGAGAGCAGGAAGCAGCTCGCAGGAGCGGCTTGCCCGGGTCACACAGAGGGTCCGAGGTGGACAGGAGTGTGTCTCTCAGACCTCTCAGCCAGGCCGGCCTGTGGCCCTGTGCACTGCTCCACTCCTGGGTGGTCCTGGCAGGGAGGCGGCAGGCCTGGCAGCCCCGGGCATCCCAAGCCAAGGCCTGCGTAAGGCTGAGGGGTGCCCTCACCTGCCTGACACCCCTGTTGGAGGTGCCCCCCTGCAGCTGGCTGTGTTCTCCATGCCGGTGGGTACCAGGGGCTTGGCAGAGGGACCTCAGCCTTGGGCTTCTGGCTTCTTCCAGTCTAACAGCCTCCCTCTGCCCCTGCAGCATCTGCAGATCAACTGGACAGGCCTGACCAACCTGTTGGATGTGCCGGGAATCAAGTAAGTGCGCCGCGGGAGCTGCCGGGCGGACCCCGGAGTGGGGCCCTCCACGGCTGGGCGGCCCGTGACTGGCGCGGCACAGCGGCTGTGCCCTCCTGCCCGGGGCCCCGCGGGAGGAGTGGCGCTTGCACCAAGCTGTCCCTGCTCTGGCGGGAAGAGGGGTGGTGTGTCTGGAGAGGGAGCGGAAGGCTAACAGTGTTGCTTGGCCTCTGTGGGCAGGCACTGCACCCAGAACACGCACACACCCCCCCCAAATGCCCGGGCACACACTGGCCAGATGAGCTGTCCTGGGGGAGGCCATGGGGGCTACTGAGAGCACAGGCTCTGGAACCACACCCAGCCAGACCAGGGTCCTGGCTCGGTGGCTCAGCGCTGTGTGATTTCAGACAATTTACTTTACCCCTCTGGGCTCTCCCTCCGTGAAAGGGGAGCCTTCTCCTTCTGTGTTGTGGTCCTGGGAGGACACTTAGGTGTGTGCGGTGGCACAGTGGGGTGGACACACACTCCCTTCAGCTGCACCCCATCCCCTCCCCGACCCAAGTGTGTGGTGAGATGCCCACAAGCCCCCCCCCGCCCAGCCATGGTCGCAGGGGGCTGCTGTCCCAGCAGAGGCCAGTGAAGAGAAGCTGGTCCGGGAAATTCCACATTCCTGGGACTGGCTGTGGGGGCCGCTGCCCCCCCGAGAGGAGCAGAGGAGGGCTCCGACCTCATGGGGGACACATGTCCCCATGAGGGCGGGACAGTTGGACTGACCAGGGCAAGCTGGGGCTTACCAGGCTCAGGCAAGTCGCCTGCCTGCAGGAAGGACCACTGGCCCCCTCACCAGGGATGTTCCCACTGATCTTGGCCCCCTGGAATCAGAGACTCCAGTTGTACAGTGTGTTGTTCAGCAGATGTTTACTGAGTACCTGCTGCGTGCTAGTCCTGTTCTCGGCACCATCCCTGCTCCTCTCCTGGGGAGATGGAGTCCGGCAGTAGACAGAGAATTCGGATGGGATGTCCGGGAGCAGAAGGGCCACGGGAACAAACCCTTAGCTAGCACTTACTGTGCACCAGGCGCTGTTCCCTGCACTTGATGTGTTTTAACTACTCCTTGTAACAACCCTAGGAGGTAGTATTAATATCCTCAGTTTAGAGATGAGGGAAAAGGTCCAGAGAAGTTAGCAACTTACCCAACGTCACACAGCTCATGGGTCATGGAGCCAAGATTGGCACACAGGCTCCAGGTCACCCCTCTTAGCTACCCCACTGTGCTGCCTCAGAGAACAAAGCAAGATGAGGAAGAGGGTGGCCGGGGGCTGTCAAAATGTATGCTCCACATCCCCCCAGGCCGGGCAGGCTGGAGTCAGGGCTGTTCTCTCCCGGGCAGGGCCCACCCCACCCACCAAGCTCTGCTCCTGGTTCCAGTTCTGGGGCTGGCTGGAGGGGCAGGTGACCTGGGGAAGGTAGTGCCACCCCTCCACAGCTGGCCGTGCCCACTGCCCCCAGTGAGGTGTCAGACAGCCTGCTGGAGGACCTCATTGCCGCCCACCTGGTGCTGCCCAACCGTGTGACTGTGCCTGTGAAGAGGGGGCTGGATGTGACCAACCTGCTCTTCCCTCTGCCCTGTGTGAGTACCCGCACTGGCCACAGGGCACTGGGCCCGGGATCGAGGGACGCACAGGCTGGCGGAGGGAAGGCATTCTCACATGATGATTGTCTCTGTCCTGTGGGAGCATGGCATCCTCATTTTATTGGGTGAAGGCTGAGTCTTGGGAAGGTTGACTGGCTTGCCCAAAGCCACCCATCTAAGGAGGGGCAGAGCCCAGGTGGCATTCCTTCCTGGATCCTGGCCCCCCCTCTGCCGCCTGGGTTGGGGACTTTGGGTAGTCACCCCTGCCCCTAGGAAACTCCAGGAGACTCCTGTCCTTCCTTCAGGAACATGAGGCTCCCCGGACTCCATCATTTGGGGGTGGAAAGGATCCCTGGGATAAATTGGGAAGAATATTCAGTCAGCCCGGGACGTGGGGCTTTCTTGTGTGCTCAGCCCTGCTGCCCCCTCTATCCTGGGCCCCACTCGGGAGGCCTCTGAGCACAGACACACTGCCTCCCTACAGAAGGAGCCCTTCGGGACAGGCAGTCAGGGCTCAGGAGAGGGGTACGTGCCCATTGCACCATCTGTGCCAGGTATGAGGCATCAGCCTGCTCCAGCTGCACCCAGGAGAGGCCCGGGCTGGCCAGGGAGGCAGCGCATGCGTCCTCACAGCCTTCCCACGGTGACGCGTGGGCTTCATCCCACACTGTGTATGGCAGTCTCAGAGTAACAGCTCAATACCATCACCTGCATCACCATTACTGAAAACAGTCTGTCATTGGGATATATGCCCAAGGTGTACTGGCAAGTGGCTATGATTTAAACCCACTTGGAATAGTTGTGTGTTTGTGACGACTGGCCATGAATATTTACACTGATTTGTTTCATTCCATTTTCTGTTTTTAGGGCTTAATTTTGACCGTAACTTCCTTTTACCATCATGCAAAATATTTGCAAGCTTCCAAAATCCAATATAAAAAACAAATTCCATTTTAAGGAGTCTGGCTTCTGTCCCTTGTTCTCTCCACCTAACCTCCACCCTCCTCCTATAAGTAATGGTTTATCCTTCCACTGTTCCTTATTTATTTTCTAATATGAGCAGATGCACGTACAGTTGTGTGCATATCTAATTATGTTCACGTTCCCCTTCTTTGATGGATGGCAGTGAACTACAGTTTTCTCCACCTTGCTTTTATCGCTCCCTATGTCCTGGGCGCCCCTCAGTGACAGCGCAGACAGAGCCCTTCCTCCTGCAGCCGCACCGTGCCCCGCGGTGTGAGTGGCTGTTACCGAGCTAGTTCTGAGCGACAGTGAGTTGTGTCGGTCCTTTCACAATTACCGATAGTGCTGTCATGAATAGCCTCGTACATGTCTTTTTATATTTTTACCAGTATCCTCTTAGAGCTGGAAGTGGGATTGCTGGGTCAAAGGGCAAATGAATGTGTATCTGCTGATATTTTTTTTTTCACTTTCATTCCAGTGTGGTTAACATAAAGTGTTAGATTAGTTGCAGGTATATAGTGAAGTGATCCAGCAATTCAGCAACTCCTCAGCTGCTTATGATAAGTGTACATGTACCTACTGATACTTTAAAAATCAGTTCCAGGCAGGAGCCCTTACTGGCCCCATGAAGTGGGTTTCCTAATTCTTGTGCTGTCTTCTGCCTTAGGACAAAGCTGGGGGGGGGGGCGGGCCGGAGTCAGTGCGGGGCCTTTATGAGCACAGGGACCCACTGCCCACAGCAGGCAGTACCCGTATGGGTGTGTACCCCTGGGTGTCAGAAAGAAATGACTAGAACTTGCTCTAATGCAGGTTAGAGAGAGGGCGGGGAGTACAGGAGGAAACCTCCTCGGATGGTGGTTGTTGGCACAGGAGGAAGTGGCTGCAGTCGAACAAGCCAGTCCCATGGCAGGTTGGAGGCGAGCAACAGACGGGCCGGAGGGCCCAGAAGGTGGGCAGGGTGTCGTGACGCAGCGGACAGAGCCCTGGGCCCTGACATCACTTGCTGTATGGCTTTGGCGGGGACACTGCCGTAGCTGGTTCTGTCTCCCATCTAGACATGGAGAAAGCGAGGTGGGCCTGGGGTGATGTCTGATGGCTTCAGCCCCGACGCTGCGGGCCTGGAGGGCTGCCACAGCCCAGGAAGCGGCTGTGAGCCCTGGGGCTGGGGCATTTTCCAGGGAGTGCTCAGGGTCCACTTGCTGGAGGCGGAGCAGCTGGCTCAGAAGGACAGCTTCCTAGGGGTCCGAGGCAAGTCAGACCCCTACGCCAAGGTGAGCATTGGCCTACAGCATTTCCGGAGTAGGACCATCTACAAGAACCTGAACCCCACCTGGAATGAGGTATTTGAGGTGAGGGTCTCCTGGCTTCTTCTGATGCCCTCCAGGCTCCATGCTGGGTCATGCTGGGTCCAAACAAGGGAGGGCCTCACATACCCACGGGGCAACACTGGGCCCAAGGCGTGGGCCTAGTTCCCACATCCACCAGGCTTCCAGAGAGGGGCTAATATGGCCCTGCTGGAGGGACAGCTCATAGGTGCATTCCCACCTTCCTTCCCCACCAGTCAGCTTTGTTGGAATTTTTCAAACCGGAGTTTAAGACAGAACCTCAGAGTCAGTTCTGCCTGACTCTGCCAGAGCCTGATGGCAGGAGCTTAAAGTTCTCCCTTAAATTCACCCACAATCGCTACTACTTGAAAAGTAGTACCCACAGCCTGTTTAGCACTCCAGAAGCTTCGAGCTCAGTTCAGAACACCCAGCAGCCACCGTCCCCTGAGCACCCACGCTAATCCTCCTTGTCCTGCCAGAGGGCATCACTCTCCTTAGAGGTGGGGTTCTCCAAAGGCACCGGAAGGCAGGAACTTGCCCAGGGCTCTGAACTGGCAGGTGGCAGAGCTGGAATTTGGCTCCCCTTGGGTCATGCTCGAGGCCTGCTTCATCAGCCGTTGTGGCCTGCAGACCAAGTCACCTGTCTCTCCTTCCAGTTTATAGTGTATGAAGTCCCTGGGCAGGACCTGGAGGTGGACCTGTATGACGAGGATCCCGACAGGGATGACTTCCTGGGCAGGTGAGGAGGAGGGCTGAGCGGGGCCCCGAGGGCATTGGGCTGGGCCTTGGGACACAGCAGCCCAGCTTCCACCACTCAGTGACCTGCAGCACCCCTGGCTTGGTTACTCTGACACGGTGACTGTGTTAGGCAACCGGCTCCGTTGTTCCACGTTCCTGCTGCTAACCTCCTTTCTAGAAGTCTCCGGAGTGCCCAGCCCTGAGTGGGGCTTTGGGGATACCGAAGACCCCAAGGTTTGTGGACTGTGGGCTCTGCTTCCTGCACTCCTGATGATGATGCGCCCAGAATCCCCATTTGGAGCAGTCGTAGGAGCAAGCTGGCATGGATGGGCAGGTCCCCAGTGCCAAGGAGCCCTGGCCACTTGCTCTGGGGCAGAACCCAAACTCAGGGCTGTGGGAGGACTGAAATGGCTATGCATGCTGGGGCTGGCTATAGAAATTTCAAATTTACATGTCTTTTGGCCTGTTAGCCCCACTTCCAGGAATCTCCTGTAAAGTAAAAGCATTACACCTGAAACGCTCTGCAATGAGCATAACTGTGGTGGCGAAACATGAATTGTCCAGCCTCAGAGGATACTGGCTGAATATTTGAATAAGTTTGCCATTGCCAAACTATAGAATATTCTGCAGCTTTTAAAAATGATGAGTAGTAGGATCTCTGTGTATTGATGTGGAGGACGCCAGTATGGGGGAGAAAGCAGCTGGAAGTGGCTTGTGCAGTCTGATTCATTTCTCCAGGGAGGACCCTCTAGTGTGTGTGTGAGCACCGAGAAGGGCATGGAAGCTGCACAGCAGGCTGTTCACACTGCTCATGTCAGGCGGTTGGGATGAGGAGGCAGAAGAGTGTTTTACCCAAATTTTCACACCGCTGCATCGTTTAGCTTGTTTCCACGAACATGTAATTGTAAAAGCAGAAACAAAGCAAAGTGGGAGGGGCATGATCTGACAGCCTAAGAAACAGCTCACCACCAGATGTTATTTTTCTTTTCATCTTAATGGAAAAAGCTGCAGTTTTTGTATTGTTGCAATTAGAAGTGTGGCTTGTAGTTCGTGTTGGGACTGATTTCGAGTGTGTTCTGAGCTCAAGCACATTTCTAACGGCTACATGGTCTCCCCGGGTGGAGGCACGCTGTGAACATGCCAACACACGCATGCCAACTACACTTACCCTCGGAGGGCATCTGGGGTTGTTACAATGACTGTGGGAGGTGGTGCCGCTGGCATTTAGAGGGCCCAGGACAGGGGAGCTAAATTCCTGCAATGCATGGGCAGTTCTGCACAATGAAGAATCATGCCATTCAAAACACCAGTAGCACCATCACCGAGAAATCCAGAGCCAGTGTGTCCAGTGTCTGCTCATTCTCCTCTGGGGAATGGAGCCACCTGCCTGCCCAGGCAGCAGCCCTGATGGTCAGACAGTCCTTCACTTGTTTGAGCTGCAAGTGGTCTACCATGGGTTTCCTGGGCTGAATAAGCTCCCCTGCCTTGAGGGCTGCACTCATCTGCGGCTTCTTGCCTCGTTGGAGCTGAGCTGACTCCCTCTATTCCAGCCTGCAGATCTGCCTCGGGGACGTCATGGCGAACAGAGTGGTGGATGAGGTAGAGTTAGTGCCTGTAACCCCCTCCCTGTGGACATCCTTGTTTCCATCTGTCCGTGGAAGGACAGAAGCACTTCTAGGACCACCTCTCCTGGTCCCTCAAGCCCAGAGCCCACCCCGTCTAGGCTGGGTCACCTTTTCCCTAAAGCCCCTACGAAGGCCCCCCTCCCAGGTCCCAGAACGGAACTACTTGAAGAGGGTCAGTAGCACCTCACTGGCCCTTTCCCTGAGCTCTCCTCTCCCTCCTCACCCTCCTCCTGCAGTGGTTTGCCCTGCACGACACAACCAGCGGGCGGCTGCACCTGCGGCTGGAGTGGCTTTCACTGACTGCCGACCCAGAAGCTCTGGTCGAGGTGAGTATGGGGTGTCAGTGCTCCCTAAACGAAAGGCACGTGGGTGTGGTGGGGTGGGAGTGGGACTTGTGGCAGGGCTGGTCCGTGGGAGAGCTGTGTGGAAGGGGGCGGGATGAAGCCCCCAGATCCCCAGATCCCACTCCCAGAATCGTCCAGCCAGCCCCACCTTCTGCAGAACCTGTCCCTCGGCCTCATCTCCACCCAGGGCAGCTCGTGGCCTCTCAGCAGACAGCCTCTGAGCATCTCAGGGAAGATAGGATCCTCAAAAGCTGTTAGTGCCAGTCAGCCCAGTTCATGGAGAAGTCCCCCGCTGTGTCTGACTTGAATCTGTCCTGCTGCAGTTGTAGACTCAGTCTCAACCAAAAGCTAGGTTGTGGGGAATCTTAGGGCTTGTCTGGAGTGCAAGGGCTGGCTGGCTTCCTTCTGCCATGAATAGGCTTCTCCAAAACCAGTCTGTGTCTCCTGATGCTGCAGCACCTAGTGAGGGTCTGTGTCTGCTTGTAGGACCAAGGTGGCCTTTCGACTGCCATGCTCGTGGTCTTCTTGGAGAGTGCCTGCAACCTGCCGGTGAGTGGTGACATGACCAGTGTCACACCCTGCCTTGTGCCCATCACTTGCAAATGTCCATGTGTCATTCATTGATCCTGTCCTTGTGCTATAGAGAAACCCTTTTGACTACCTGAATGGTGAATATCGAGCCAAAAAACTCTCCAGGTTCACCAAAGTAAGTGAAAGCAAGTCACGGCTCCTTTTCCCCAGAGTGACAACAGCCCTATCTCGTGGGTGATCATCTGTGCACCCATAGCCTACGGATGACAAGAGTGCTGTTCATTAAGTCTGCTGTGTGCCAGGCACTGGGCTTTACAACTCGTCCCTCATGTTCATTATGCCCAAGTCCCATGATGAGTGTGTCTGTTTCTGTTGCCATCTTACAAGTAGCACCCAGAAGGTTAAGTACAGTACCTGGGTCACAAGTTAAAGAGCCGGAACTTGACCATTTCCATAGGCCCCGGGAACAAGAGCCTGTGCCGAACCAGGCCCAGCTCCCGGCCTCTTGTCATTAACTTGGAACCTCTCCTGGGGTTAGCCCTACCCTGGTGCTTGCACAGTTTTGGCAGCCCAGTAGCCCTGGGAGCACCACGGTAGCCTTCTCTCGACGGGAAGCGGTCGGTAGGTCCCAGATCCCACTGATGCTCTGGGAGTTGGGAGGTACGGTGGGGTGGGGGGTGGTCTCAGGCCAGTGGTGCCACTTTCCTTGTTGTGGATTTGCCCTGCACAGAATAAAGTCAGCAGAGACCCTTCTTCCTATGTCAAGCTATCTGTAGGCAAGAAGACACAGACTAGCAAGGTAAGAGCTTGGTGCGCAGCCACGGGACAAGGAAAGGGGGCGCCCCACCTTTTCAAGGAGAGAGGAGAAGGGAAGGGAATTAGAGAACTGAATGCTTAGTAGGTGGCAGGTTACATTCTAGACAGCTTGTCTTCAGAACAACCTCACAAAATAGTTCTATGGTTTAAGAATCTGAGGGTCAGGGGACACCTGGGTGGCTCAGTCATTAAGCGTCTGCCTTCGGCTCAGGTCATGGTCCCAGGGTCCTGGGATCGAGCCCCACATCGGGCTCCCCGCTCAGCAGGAGGCCTGCCTCTCCCTCTCCCACTCCCCCTGCTTGTGTTCCCTCTCTCGCTCGCTCGCTGTCAAATAAATAAATAAAATCTTAAAAAAAAAAAAAAAGAATCTGAGGGTCAGAGATGAGTGACTTGCCCAAGAGCACCAGCTAGAAAGCAGCAGAAATCCTGTTGGTCCCCTCCCCTGGAAGTGAGCTCTAGTGCTGCTGGCATGCTTTTCAGCCCCTGCACAACTTCCTGGGACAGCTCCCTTCTGGCCTTTGGGTCTGGCTGCCCTGCTCTAACGCCTCCCCTAAGCTGTAGTGTGCGGCGTCTGACCCCGGGGCAGAGGCGGAGAAGGCTCCCAGTGACAGTAGGTGGCCAGCTGAAAGCAGAGGGCGCCAGTGTCCTGCGCTGCCCATCCTGACCCTTCAGTGATCTTACTCTCTTCTGTCCCCAGACTTGTCCCCACAGCAAGGACCCAGTGTGGAGCCAGGCGTTCTCCTTCTTTGTGTCCAACGTGGCAGCTGAGGAGCTGCATCTGAAGGTTTGAAGTTGGGCTCCTGGAACAAAGCTAAGAAGTGTCTAAGCCAGGAGGGGTGGGGAGCTTGCTAATTCACCTTGAGCAGGTTCTCCCAGCAGTGAAGTCAGCCCCTTTTGTGTGGGAGAGGATGCAGAGGCCCCACATCTTCATGAGGCTGGTGCCCAAGGGCAGTGGGTAAGAGGCTGTGGAAGGACAAGCCCTCAAGGGCTCTCCCTGCAAGAGTCTTTCCAGTTGTTACCCAGCACCCAGAGTGGCCTGTGTTGGCATCATACCAGGACCTTAATGATGATGTACTTCTTTAAGAAATAATTTAATCTTCACAAAAGATCTGTGGAAAAGAGATAGCTTCTTTATTTCACACAGAAGCAAAGAGAGGCTCAAACAGTGACTTAGTCATGAAAGCTTGAACAACAAATGGCCGAACTGGGATCTTTTAAGGCCCTCAGCCCATCAGTCCCTAAAGCCCCTGCGACTCTGGGCATCTGACACACTTGCCTCATAGAGCTCCTAACTAACTGCCTCTACCCTGACCGCAAACAGGGGACAGGTCTGGTCCTAGTCCCGGGTTCTCAGGACAGGACCAGAGGCCAATAGAAGCACAGTACATGCTTACTGAAGCGAACTTAGACTTGAATGGGGCCCAGAGAGAGGTGGTGGTGGGTGTGGGGCTTGGTTCTCCTGTTTTGTGACTGGCCCCCTGCCAGGTGCTAGATGATGACCAGGAGTGTGCTCTGGGAGTGCTGGAGTTCCCTCTGTGCCAGATTCTACCCTATACAGACCTCACCCTTGAGCAGCGCTTTCAGCTGGACCACTCAGGCCTGGACAGCCTCATCTCCATGAGGCTGGTGCTTCGGGTAAATCTCTCCCCCTGTTCCCCAGGGTAGGTGAGGGGTGGAGCTCTGGCCATGGAACAAGATGGACTAGCCCAGCACTAAGTACCTGCTCTGTGCTGAGAAGCTAGGAAATAGATCCATGGTTTTCATCAACTTTGGAATATTGTCAGCTTCAGATATTGCCTCTCCTATTCTTTTAATCCTTCATGCTAGAACTCCTACACTGGACCTTCTCCCCATCTCCTTTGTCTCTACCTGACCTCACTTTCATATTTTCTATTTTTTTATCTCTTGGTGCTACATTCTGATTTCCTCAGATCTGTCTTCTAGACCACTAATTCTTTTCTTTACATATTCATGGTTTTTATTTCAAAGGCTGTTTTTCATTTCTATCTTTTCCAAATCCACTGTGTCTGTTTCTATTCCATCTTTAATCAATCATCTGAAAATACCTATGCTATAATGTATGTCTGTGAATTCTATTATCTGAAGATCTTGAGAGTTAGATTTTGATATTTGTTGTATCTGTTGATGCTTTTTCAGGGTGACTCATTTCTACGTTCGGTGACCTGGGTTGCAAACATATGTCGAGTGTTCTATGTCAAGTGTTCTTTTGTGACCTAGATTGAGGTTGCTTGCTTCCAGGGAGGTTCTGTTTTGCTATAACCATGCACTTTGGGGGCATTACAAACTGGGTCCGTTCTTAGGTTAATTTTTAAATTTTAGGTTTCAAGATTCCACAGGTATAAATATGAACCAAAATTCATATAAGACAGTCCTGTCAGGTGCCATATTCTCAGGAAAGTCTTCAGTTCCCCAGCAGAGTACAGGCAGAGATGGACATATTTCTTAGCAGTCTTTCCTTGGGGCGGGGGGCGGTGTGGAATGTTTATCCTAGACTACTTTTTGCCCCCTAAAGAGACCCCACCTTCATGGTTCCTACTTCAACTCTCAGCCTCACATTGACCCAACGCCTCTTCTCCTCATTACCCCTTGGATTTTTCAAGGTTGATAAATGACCCTAGGAAAGCTTAGCCTTTATTTTTCAGTAACCCTAGGGGTTTTCCTTACTTTCTTGTAACTTTGGCTATGCATTTAAAAAGGATGTTTGTTTCATTTTATTAGTCATCCTTAATGAGGCTTTTCAGAAGCCTCATTTTTGATCACCAGAGTGCTAGAAATGGAAGTCCCTAGAAATGGTCTTGATGACAGGGGGAAGGAGAAACACAATGGCTGAAGTTTGAAACTTCGGTTATAGGAGCACAGAGGTGTGTGTGGACAGGAAACACATTTTAGAGAAAGCAATGGTGAATAGGGTGACAGCTGGAAAGGGCCCTATCCAGAAGGCAGTGTGTGATATACGTGAAGGTTAAGGTAGAGGTGTAGATTCTGGGAGTCCTTTGCATAGAGGGACAGTACATGCTCTAAGAATGAGCCAGGTCTCCACCAGCCAGTGTGAGTGGGGGCCAGGACTGAGTCCTCATGAAGACTCACTATTGAGGCAGTAGTAAGGGAAAAAGAGAATAATTGGTTACAGGGACCCAGGGGCAGAGAGAGGTTAAGGAAGATATGGGGGTGGGGTGGGGAGAAATCCATTCGGTTGCGCAGTGAGGAAGGAACCATTTCCCAGAGGTTAAGGTGAGAGCAGAGGAAGAGAAAGTGGATGTGGGGGGCCCAGCCCATAATCCTGTCATCTGCTTGCAGTTCCTGCGCGTGGAAGAACGAGAGATGGGGAGCCCATACACAGGACCTGAAGCCCTAAAGAAAGGTCCTCTGTTCATTAAGAAGGTGGACACCAACCAGGATCCCAAAGCCCCATCCCAGGGAGAGTGCCCTGCAAATCTGCCATGCCCTCCAGATCCTGCTTCTGATACCAAAGAAACCTCCAACAGCACTATGACAGCCCCCAGTACCACTATTGCTGCCACCGAGCCCGCGCCCCAAGAGACAGGCCCAGAGCCCGCAGGCAAGGACAGTGCCAAAGGGCTCTGTGAGCCCTTGGGGAAGAAGAAGAGTTCGGCCACCATCTTCCTGACTGTCCCAGGCCCCCACTCTCCAGGGCCCATCAAGTCACCCAGACCCATGAAATGCCCTGCCTCCCCACTCGCATGGCCGCCCAAGAGGCTGGCTCCCAGCATGTCCTCGCTCAACTCCCTGGCCTCCTCCTGCTTTGACCTGACAGATATCAGCCTCAACATTGAGTATGCACCTCTCTGCTTAATCTTGTCTACAATGACCTGTGTGAAAAATACATTCCTGGATGGAAAAGTAGATACGAACTCACTTTCCTCTGCAAGTTCTGGTCTTTTACAAAGTGGCTTCATGAGAGGCAGCATGGTATATGCTAGAAACACAGGGCAAGGGAGAGAGAGAGAGAGAGCAAGTGCACTCCCACGGTAACACAGGTGCTGGGCTTCAGTTGTTAAGGTTCCTTACCACAGAAACATTTCCTGAATTCTCAAGTGTACTGGGATGATATGGAAAGCTTAGAATGTGGAAATAGATCATCAATGGCTGCCATTTATTGTTAACTATGAGCTTAGCATGTTATTTAATTCCATCTTCACAATTACCCTAGGAGATAGAAGTTAATATCATAAAGGTCGAATAACTCACCGAAGGTCCCAGAGGAAATCATGGTATAAAGGCAGATCCCACTCCAGGGTTCGTGTTCTTCCTACTGTGAAGTAGGATAATTACATGTGAATGGATGGAACTGACTTCTGACTGAAAGGAACCTCAATGAGAATTATTAACCCACACAGCTCTAGGTGCCTAAAGCAGGGCGTGCTTCTATCTTAGGGGCTGGGGGAGAGGCCAACACCCATAATGGCAAGGGAAGTGACAAGCCCTTTCCTTACAGAGGCGGGGAGCTCAGGCAGCGGAGGCTGGGTGAGGTTCAGCTCACCGTGCGTTACGTGTGTCTGCGGCGCTGCCTCAGCGTGCTCATCAATGGCTGCAGGTAACGGGGCGCTGGGGCCGGGGGAAAGGCCTCTGGGAGCATCAGGTGAACAGAAGAGTGGAGGTGCTTGAAGTAACGGCAGGGGTGGGCATCCCTGAAGTAGACAAGTAATACACTAGAAGGAGTGAGGTGTGAAGGCCTCATGTGGTGAATGACAAGGTCCTCAGTGATGCCGATGGGCGGGCTCCAGAGCCAAGGGCTTTGTTTAAATATAACCACTGCAAAAACTGTCTGAGGGGACTTGGAGCCAGTACCTTTTCTCAAGTGGGAATCTCCAGTTTCCTTTAGATGGGAAGTACTTGCTCTACTCTGGACTTTAAAAAACACGTTTTCAAAATCCTGCATCTGATGTTTTATCCTCCAAATTCTGCAGACTTTTGCTTTTTGGTCTAGACAACAAGGCATTTTTATCCACAAGCCATCTCAAGTTGAATGGCTAGTACAGCCTTCTCCAAAAGAGTCCTTTCAGTGTTTCAAAACTTTTTTCTTTAATGTCTTTGAAACCAAATCAGAAACCTGACACCCTGTACCATCAGTGGAGCTGATCCCTATGTCCGTGTCTACTTGTTACCGGAGAGGAGGTGGGCAAGTCGTAAGAAGACCTCAGTAAAACGGAAGACCCTGGAACCCCTGTTTGATGAGACGTAAGTGAACCAAACTGCCCTGCTTAGAGTGTCTTCTTACCATTCAAGTATTTGCTGAGTACCTGTTGTGTGCCTGGCAAGCCTGCCCGATGCTGGGAAGGGCTAGGTCTGTGGGCCTCGGGATAACACAGTCTACGCCTTCATGAAATTTCTATGCACTAGTGGGAGAAAAGGACTGCCAGGGCAGTTTAGCAAAACAGCTACCAACTTTTCTTGCTCATAGAAGCTAAAATGTTCCTGATTATGAACTGCTCCCTACTTTTTCTCTTTAAATGAAGCCTCTTTAGCAGTAAGAGGATTTAAATCTGGCCAAATATGTTTTCTCTGACTCCGTTTTAAAGTAGCAGTTAAAAACATATCTTGAATCCAGAGACCTAAAATTTCTTCTGAAGCTCCAAGCCCTGTGGCCTGTCTTCCCTTCTGCAACAAAGCATAGGTGGCAAGTGAAACAGATGTCCTCCCCTGACTTGTCCACCCATGTCCTTGGGCACACAACTGATAGATTCTAATCACATTTCTTGCTTTTGATGGGTCTCGTATAGCAAGTCTTATGTGAAATATTCTGTACCTTGAGGTCAACTTGAAGTCAAGAAGTCAAAATCTCATTATTGCTTCCTTCTGCTTCAGAATCCTAACAAAAGCCATTTCTAAATATACCTGATAATTTTCATTTCCTCTTATCTTGGTCAGTAGTTACTCATTTTAAAAGTTGCATTGAGCCCTCTTTGGGCCTTGTCTAAGAACTAATACTTTCCTTTAAGAGCTTCACTTGGAGTTCATTGGCTTCCCTTGGAGTTCACTGATATCAAGAAAGGGTGTGGGAAAGAGAATCTATTCATTATTTATTGAACACTTTATGCCAGGCACCATCCTATATTCTAGAGCCACACAAGTAAAAGACTTTGCACTCAAATAAAAGGATTTCACAATTGCTATGTGGGAACACAGGAGGGAAAGGTTTGACATTTGGCTTTTGTGACAAACCTGATCTGTTAGGAATTCTCTCTCAAAATTGTAACAGTAAGATATGACCAGGTTATCTGGAGGGCAGACTTGGCGACCTCCACCCTCACAATAAACCTAGAAGTAAGGAGCCCAGAGACCTCTTGTGAGTACATGACCCATATTAAGACACATTATAATTAAAATGTTAAAGTTAAAGGTAAGGGGAGAATCTTAAAAACAGCAAGAGAAAAACTTATTACATATTAAGGGAACCCTTTTAGACAATCAGCACATTTTTCAGCAGAAACTTTGCAGGCCAGAAGGGATTGGCACAATATAGTCAAAGTGCTGAAAGAAAAAAATTCCAAGAATACTCTGTCCGGCAAAGTTGTCATTAAGAATTAAGTTAGTTATTACCACTGGACTGGCCTTAAAAGAAATGTTAAAGGGACTCTGTAAGCTGAAAAGAAAGGGTGCTAATTAGTAACAACACATATAAAGGTATAAATCTCACTGGTAAAGGTAAATATATAGTAAAGGTAGTGGATTAATCCCATATAAAGCCAGTATGAAGGTTACAAAACAAAAGTACTAAAAATAACTATCACCACAGTAACTAGTTCTAAGGGATATAAAAAGATGTAAAATGTGGTGGATCTGGGTGAAAGCTTTAGAATGCTTTCAAACTTAAGATATTATCAGGTTAAAGACTGTTGTTCTACGTAAGCCTCAGTGTAACCACAAAGCAGTAACCTATAGTAGGTACACAAAACGTAAAAAGAAAGTAATCTAAGCATACTACTAAAGAAAGTCATAAAACCACAATGGAAGAGAGCAAAAGAAGAAAGGAATAGAGAGGGACTACAAAACAGTCAGAAAACAACAAAATGGCATTGAGTACTATTAATATAAATTATCAATAGTTACTTTAAATATAAATTAAACTCTCCAATCTAAAGACACAGAGTGGCTGAAAGGATAAAAAAAACAAGACCCATCTATGTGCAGTCTATAAGAGATTCATTTCATACACAAACTGATAGAAAAAGATATTCCAAGCAAATGGAAACTAAAAGAAAACTGGGGTAACTATACTTCTATCAGACAAAAGACTTGAAAACAAAGACTGTAATAAGAGAGAAAGATGGGCATTACATAACGACGAAGTCAATCCACTAAGAGGATCTAACATTTACAAATATTTATGCACCCAACATAGGAACAGCTAAATATATAAATCAAATATTAACAGGCCTAAAGGAAGAAGTAGCAATACAACACTAGTAGGGGACTTTAATACCCCACTTACATCAATAGTAGATCATCCAGACAATCAGTAAGGAAATATCAGCCTTAAATGACATGTTATACCACTGGGATTTAACAGATAGATACAGAACATTTCATCCAAAAGCAGAATATACACAATATACGTTCTTTTCAAGTGTACATGGGACAGTCTCCAAGACAGATCATATGTAGGTCACAAAACAGGTCTTAATAAATTTAAGAACACTGAAATTGTCTCATGCATCTTCTCTGACCACATGGTATGAAACTAGAAATCAAGTACAAGAAATAAACCAGAAAATTCACAAGTATGTAAAGATTAAACACCATGCTACTGAACAACCAACAGGTCAAAGAAGAAATCAAAAATATCTTCAGACAGATGGAAAATACAACTTGCCAAATTCGTGGAATGCAGCAAAAGCAGCTCTAAGTGGAAAGTTCACAGTAATAAATGCCTACATCAGTAAACAATAAAAATCTCAAACAATCTCAGTTTATACCTCAAGGAACTATAAAAAGAATGAAGAAAGCCCAAAGTTAACAGACAAAAGGAAATAAAGATCAGAGCAGAAATAAATTAAAGAAATAGAGACTAAGACAATAGAAAAGATCAATGAAACTAAAAGCTGGTTCTTTGAAAAGATAAAATTGACAAGCCTTAGGTTAGGCTAGACTCATCAAGAAAAAACACAAAATCAGAAAGGAAGGAGGAGACATTATAACTAATACCAAAGAAGTAGAAAGGATCATGAAACCACTATGAACAAAATTATATGCTAACAAATTTGACAAACTAGAAGAAATGGGTAAATTCCTAGAAACATACAACCAAGACTGAATAATGAATAGAAAATCTGAACAGACCAATTACTAATAAGGAGACTGAATCAGTAATCAAAAATCTCCCAACACGGGGGGATGGGTTAGCCGGATGATGGGTATTAAGGAGGGCACGTATTGAATGCAGCACTGGGTGTTACATGCAAACAATGAATCATGGAACACTACATCAAAAACTAATGATGTAATGTATGGTCATTAACATAACATAATGAAATTAAATTTAAAAAAAAATCTCCCAACAAACAAAAGTCCAGGACCAGATGAAGGCTACCAAACACTCGAATACCCATCCTTTTCAAACTCTTCAAACAAACAAAAAACAGAAGAGGGAACACTTCCAAACACATTTTACAAGGCCAGCATTACACCCTAATACCAAAACCAAACAAGGACACAAGAACAAACTACAGACCCTCTATGAACATAGATGCAAAAATCTTCAACAAAATATTAGAAAGCTGATTTCAGTAATATATTAAAAGGATCATACATCATGATCAAGTGGGGATCCCAGAATGCAAGGATGATTCAGTATCCATCTGCAAATCAATATGAAACATCAAATTAGCAAAAATCGTATGTTCATCTCAATGGATGCAAATAAAACATTTGACAAAATTTAGTATCCACTTATGATAAAATTGTCAACAAAGTGGGTATGGAGGGAATGTACGTCAACGTAATAAAGGCCATAGGGGACAAGCCCACAACTAACATCATACTGAGAGGTGAAAACCTGAAAGCTTTTCCTCTAAGATCAAAAACAAGACAAGGATGCCTACTCTTGCCACCTTTTTAGTTTTGGAAGTCCTAGTCAGAGCAATTAAGCAAGAAAAACAAAAGGCATCCAGAATGAAAAGGAAGAAGTAAAAGTGTCACTGTTCACACATGACATGACATTATAGAAAACCCTAAAGATTCCACCAAAAAACCATTAGAACTAATCAACAAATTCAGTAAAGCTGCAAGATACAAAATCAATATACAAAAATCTGTTGCATTCTATACACTAACAATGAATTATCAGAGAAATTAGAAAGCAATACCATTTATAGTTGCATCAAAAAGAATAAAATACCTAGGAATAAATTTAACCAAGGAGATGAAAGATCTGTACATTGAAAGCTGTAAGACATTAATGAAAAAAATTGAAGACAACACAAATAAATGGAAAGACAGTTACTGCTCATAGAATTGAAGAATTAATGTTGTTAAAATGTCCATACTACCCAAAGCAATCTACAGATTTAATGCAATCTCTTTCAAAATTCCAATGGCATTTTTCACAGAAATAGAACAAATCCTAAAATTTGTATGGAACAATAAAAAACCCAAAGCAATCTTGAGAACAAAGCTGGAGGCATTACACTACTTGATTTCAAACTCTGTTAAAAAGCTATAGTAATCAAAGCAATATGGTTTTCACATAAAAACAGACACAAAGATCAATGGAACAAAACAGCTCAGAAATAAACCTGCACATATATGGTCAATTAATTTATGACAATAGTCAATACGACAACTTATGGGAAAGGACTGATTCTTCAATAAATGGTGCTGGAAAAACTGAACAGCCACATTTAAAGGAATGAAACTGTACTACAATCTTACATCATACACAAAAATAAACTCAATATGGATTAAAGACTTGAATGTAAGACCTGAAACCATAAAACTCCTAGAAGAAAATATAGGCAATAAGCTCCTTGACATTGAACTTGATTTTTTGAACTTGACACCAAAAACAAAGGCAACAAAAGCAAAAATAAGTGAAACTAGCTCAAACTAAAAAGTTTCTACACAGCAAAGAAAACTGTCAACAAAATGAAGAGGGAACCTACTGAATGGAAGAAAATATCTGCAAACCATTTATCTGATAAGGGGTTAATATTCAAAATATCCAAAGAACTTACACAATTCAAAAGCAAAAAAAAAAAGTCTGGTTTAAAGACAGAGAACCTGAACAGAAATTTTTCCAAAGAAGACATACAGATGGCCAACAGACACATGAAAATGTGCTCAATATCACTAATCATCAGAGAAATGCAAATCAAAACCACAATGATCTATCACCTCATACCTATTAGAATGACTATTACAAAGTGTTGGTAAAGATGTGGAGAAAGGGAACCCTTGTGCACTAATGGGGGGAATGTGGTGCAGGCACTATGGAAAACAGTACAGAGTTTCATCAAAAAACTAAAAATAGGGTGCCTGGGTGGCTCAGTTGGTTAAGCAACTGCCTTCAGCTCAGGTCATGATCCTGGAGTCCTGGGATCGAGTCCCGCATCAGGCTCCCTGCTCAGCAGAGAGTCTGCTTCTCCCTCTGACCCTCCCCCCTCTCATGTGCTCTCTCTCTTTCTCTCTCTCAAATAAATAAATAAAATCTTTAAAAAAAAAAACTAAAAATAGAACATATGATCCAGCAATTCCCCTTCTGGATATTTACCCAAAGAAAATGTAAACAGTAATTCAAAAACACATACAATACTCCCATGCTTGCTGCAACATTACTTACAATAATAGAAAAGGCATGGAAGCTACCTAAGCGCCCACTGATGGATGAATGGATAAAGAAAATGTGGCATATACACAATGGAATATTATTTGGCCGTAAGAAAAAAAAAAAACAACAAAACTTGCCATTTGCAAAAACATGGATGGACCTTTAGGGTATTATGCTTAGTGAAATAAGTCAGAAAAAGATTCTTACTGTATGATCTCACTTATATGTGGAAATCTAAAAGAAACAAAAAGCCCATAAAGGATAGCAAAAAAAAAGACGCCAAGCCTGTGGATATAAAGAACAGATTGGTGGCTGGTGTTATGTGTGTGTGGGGGGAGGGTAGAGATAGGTAAAGGGGGTCAAATGGAAAAAATTTCCACTTATAAAATGAAGTAATGGGGATATAATGTTCAGCATGGTGACCATGTTTAATAATACTGTATTACATATTTGAAAGTAGCTAGGAGAATGGATCTTGAAAGTTCTCATCACAAGAAAAAATTTTTGTAATTATGTATAGTGATGGATGTTGACTTACGGCAGTCATTTTGCAATATATACAAATATCAAATCATTGTTAAACACCTGAAACTAATGTTCCCTTACCTCAAAAACATACCTAGAAGTAAGGATTCCAGTGGCCTCTTGTGAGTATATGACAAAGCTTATACACTAAGATTCCTCTGCCTTACTCCACAGGCAGAAGAGGGAAGGGCCACTATTTTCTATGAAACTCCATTGCAGCTGACTCTTCAGCATCCTAGTCCTTAGCTGGTCAGAAAAAACAATGGAGGTAGCGGTGGAGGTGGTCCTATGAGCAAGCACTGTTGAGAGTGAGAAGGGGCAGCTGAAAGAAAGGCAGCCAGGATAGGCTCAGAGAAAGTAAGAAACCCCAAAGCACAGTAGTCCAAGGCACTTCACGGAGAGGCAAACAGTCTCTTAATACGTCCACGGCTTGTGATTAGCATAGGACAGTGATAACCTGTAATAATGATGCACTGACTATCTGCTATGAGCCAACTGTTCTACACGGTCCCCTAAATAGTCTAGAACTTCTGTTTTAAAAGTAGGAAAATGGATCAAGTACTCCAGATTTTCAACAAAAATGATTAAAATATGTAAATCTAAAAAAAAAGTAAATCTCACTTTCTGACTTTTTGCATCTTAAAGATTTGAATTTTTTGTTCCCATGGAAGAAGTAAAGAAGAGGTCACTAGATGTCGCAGTGAAAAACAGTAGGCCACTTGGCTCACACAGAAGGAAGGAGCTAGGAAAAGTAAGTACAAGAGGGACTCTTGGTACTCTGTCCTCCTGGCACTCTAACTGGAGTTCATTGGTGGAACACCTTGGAGAAATTCTGATGGGATCATCTGGCTGTTAACCAGAACTGGCTTCGAGGACGTTAGAGACTCATTGGGAGGTTTTTGGGGGTGTGTGTTTTAATATGGTTGAAAGTAAAACATGTAAATTAATATAAATACTATTTTAACAAACTGGAGAATCTATCCAAACTCATCATTGCACAAGTATTTGAACATCTATTAAGTATTGTTTTGATAAATACAGCACTGTGTGAAGCTTGGGTCTCATTATGTCAAGATTTTTGTGGAGATGGGATTTTACTTTAAGTAGAAGTAGAGAAAATATAATCTTCAGGAAGATGCCAAGGACAGACAAAAAGAATGACATTTGTACAATACATTGCAGTTGTACTTTAATAAAGACCTTCTTATAATCATCTTTTTAAGATCCTGCTTCTATGATGTAGGTGAAATTATCTTCATTTTTACACAGTTGAGGCAACTAGGGTGTCTTGCTTAAAATTACGAATCGGTTCATGAGTAAAGGCGAGTTGTTTTCTCTTTCAGTAACATTTATAAATTCTGAGGTTTAACTCCAAAGAGCAGTTCACCTTTTCCCAGTACACTGAGGTCAGTGTCTATATTGTCCTTCTGGAGAGGTTCCATGCTGAGAGCTAAAAGAAAAAGAGTCCCTGCTCAAAACTGAAACCCAAGGAGGCCCTTTTTACTATCAATTCCATTTGTCCCAATATGTTTGCATTTAATGCAGTTTTTGGAAGGAAACTGATTAATTGTGTTTGTTTAGGTACTGATTGACTTATCAAAAGAGGATCTGATTAAGGGCTTCTCACGATGGTAAGTGAGCCCTTTCATTTTATCACATTAATCTGGTACTCAAGACATTGTCTCCGACAGTTGCACATAATCTTTCTCCAAAATTCTTCCTTTTTCAGTACATGTCCACTTCTTTGCTTATCAAGAAAGGAGACACATTATAACCTATACTTAAGGATTTTCTGCCTGCAGTTCTCACTTACCTAACAGACCTCTATGAGCTCTAGCCTTAATTGGCTGGTCGACTTACAAAGGGATGGGTTCTCCCTGTCCCGCAGGGGCCTAGGCTGGCTAGACGAGGCTGCTTGTCCTGATGCTGCCACCACAACACACTCTCAATACTAACACAAGTCCAAACCCAACTGTCTTACAGGTACGAGCTGACTCCAGATGGACAGCCCAGAAGTTGATGAGCACCCTTACCACCTTTACAGTAAAATGTGTACATATGTATATTTTGTAATTTAAATCAGAACAGCCATTTGAAAATACATACATACATTTTTTGTGTGAAATTTAAGTACATGACTGGATAATATTAGGGAGAGGTAAACGTATATATAAAAGCAAGTACTGTCCTCTCTCAGTTGGATTTAGTTGTTCAAATCCAGAAAGAAATGGGGTATTCATACCTAATAAATTATCAGAACCTCAGTGGTGATTTTTTTATGTAGGTAATTACATACCATATAACTTGGGATTTGCCCAAATGTATGTGTCAAAAGTGTCCTGTCTCAGACATAAGGGGTGAAGGAGGTCTGTTCCTGGAGCAGCTACCAGTATTCCTGGGAAGTGACTGACCAAGGGAAGAGGCTTCTTTTATGGGAATAAAAAATGACCCACACCAGAAGTGCCAAAAGCCAACACTACCTAAGCCCTTCTGGTCCTTCTGCCACCTCTGGTACTTCGCTGCCTGGAAATTTGTTCCTGTATCTACTGTAGAACTAAAATGTACTTTTCTGATGGCAACAATGTTATAGTGATATACCTAAATACCCTGAGTTAAATACTCCAATGTGGGATGGCCTGGCCCCAAACTCCAGCACATGGCATCATTTCCATAGAAAAAAGCAAACCAAACCCCAAGCCCAGGTCTACATCTCCACTCCCAAAGCAGAGCACTAGAGAATGCCGCAGTGTTAGTGCCAGAGGAAAAAGGAGCTTCTTGTCTCTCAGATGGTTTGGCAATTCTATTCCACTTTTCTAAGACATGGCTGGTTCACCTAAATAGCATTTAAAAGCAAAATATGTAAATTGCACAAACAAGTGCCTCTTTTGCATTTCAAACTTTATAACACCAAATATTCTTATCCTCTCTGATGTTATCCTAGAGCTACCCTTGAGTTTGCATCCTTTTCTCTTCACTCGGGCAACAGCCCCTGCCATCAGTTTCCTGTTCCCCACCCCGCCACTGCCTTCACTGCTGCTTTTCTGAAGAATGGTAACTAATCTTAAAGTTTCTGTTATGTTACTCTCACTTATAAATTATCTATGATTTCCTGTTTTCTAGAAGAATAAAACCCAATCCTTAATTTGTCCTTTAGACCTAACAGTCTAGCCCCCAGTGTTTTACTACTTTATGTGCAGATGCTCTATTCCAGAATAGTCTATATATCATATCCTGCCTACTCAACTCCTATCCTCTTCAAAAGCCTTGTCTCAAAACCCACCTCTGTCATGCCAGTCCACACTGAAATGGCCTCTCCCCCACCTCCTACAGCATTTACTGTCAATGCTGTGTATTTTTTAAATAATTCCCTGCCTTGTAACATTTAATTTTTAAAAAAGGCTTATTAGATATCTATGAAGGTCACATACTAACTATGCATATTGTGTTTGAAATTTAATGTTTGTTTACTGTCCATCCAGTTGAAGTTACTGTAATTGATTTTCAATCCCCATCATCCAAGACTATGCTAAGTACATGGTAGATGTGTAATAAAATTTGTTTCTGCTAAGATTTCTATTTTGAGTGACAAATTCTCATAACAAAATCAGGCAACTGATGCCTGTCCTGTCTACTTCACAATGGCAATGGAATGCTCACTAAATACATGTGCCTTGAAAATGGTAAAGCATCAGAGACATATAAGGGAATGCATCATGTATCACATCCTTAATATCAGCAACCCTAAAACAACTTCTGGTTAAGATGGCCAACAAGTGAAAACCTATCCCTTCCTCTTCCAAACACAGAGAAAACCTACTTAAACCAGGAACAGCATTTATTTTAAACATGGCTGATTAAGAAGTAACACAGGTAAATTTCCTGGCGATGATCCAAAGAGGAAATTTAAAGCAGTGTATAGGAGTTGTAAGGGAATTTAAGTGTTGACAGGAACCAGAATTTTAGCATACACTGACAGACGGCAAGGCTTGTGTAAGGGACAAGAAGCCTGAAAAGTTTTGTATCAGAAAACACCTTGGCTGCCAATGAGGACAAAGAACTGGCTGTCAACAGTGGGTGGAGGCAGTCAACTAATCTGTCCTACAGGAACACAGGGTCTGAGGTTACACACAACTGACTTGGAATAGAAACCCCAAACCTTGAAACTAATGTGAAAACTGGTTTAGAACCTACAATCACGTGAAGCCCTGACACAGGCAACCACAAAACTGGCCGTTAGGGTTGCCAGGCCCATCCAGGGCACATGTGGGACCCCTGCAGCATGTAATTCCCACTAAAAGAAGCTCATGGGCAAAATTATAAAATAAAATTGGAATTTTAAAAATATAAAACACACAAGAACATCAAACTGAAAAATGGCCATAAGATGTATTTCAGCAAGAAAGAAAGTATAATATTCAGAAGTGGTACATGGGAAACAATGGGGAGCAAAGAAATCCACAAAGTGTTAACCTAAGTCTTGACTGCTTACAAAATATAAACAGGCAAGCAACCAAAAGTTTTTGCAAAAACTGGGTTCAAAAACACAGTGGCACTAAAATGCTGGTATTAACATTTAAAAAGGGATAAGAGCCTGGTTCAGTGGAAAGTTAAAGTGATCAGGTCGTTATTTAGGAAACTAAAGATAGTTTTATATTTTAAAAATAAATTATAAATTTGGGTCAGTTACTATCTTACCACCTCTCGGCTCCAAATCAACCCATCTTTGCCGTCCTTTGATGATTCAGGAGACACCACACTTGTCTCTGCCAGGGGGCTTGATGTCAACCTTTCCCAGTAGAGGGCATTGGAGAGACACTGCAAGGCCAGAGGAGCAAGAAAAAGGGGCTTTTCTTTTTTCTACTAATGTGCTGTTTTCCATGGCAGCTAGCTGGTTGTTGTGTGGAGGCTGTTCTCCGACACGGAAGCACCCCTCACAGTTTACCCTTGGCTCATGTCCTTGGGCTCTGCCACCATAACCATGGCCTTCATGGTTCAGCACCAGCCAGCAAGTTGGGTTGTTTTGTTTCGTTCTTTTTTTTTTTTGCCACAAGTAGGCTTCTTCCTACTTCCTTCTTCCGCCAAACCTCTCCTCAAAGTTTTCAATCTCAGCCTAGTTGGAAGGCATTCTTCCAAATTTCACAATTTCTTTCTTCACTCTCCTTTATCCCTGAGGGTAGTATCTACTTTCTGCAGTTGCTATTCTGTACCTCCTAGAGTCCTCTTTTATCCCCTTTCATAGTAGTTAACTACCTTTTACTAATGCTAATTAGTAAATTCTTGTTTTAAATTTTCCTGTTAGCTACATATGCAACGTGGTTTGTCTGCTGATTGGACCCTAAGCATATATTTAAAATTTTAAGATAATCAATAAAATAGAGTAACAATAGAAAAATCAATAGAGCTGAACTATAAAACTTCTAAATCAACAGTGGAGAAGAAAAAGTAATAGAGAAAAATCAACCCCCCCCCAAAAATAAAGAAAAAAAGTACAGGAAAAAAATGATAATTAGGAAAAAAACAAAGAAGTTGGTCAAAAGACCTCTAAATATATTTACAATCACAATAAACCCACTACTAAAGCCTAGAATGTCAAATGATGCTGGGAAAACTGGACAGCTACAGGCAAAAGAAAGAAACGACCACTTTCTTACACCATACACAAAAATAATTACTCAAAATGGATTGAAGACCTAAATGTGAGACATGAAACCATAAAAGTCCTGGAAGAAAATACAAGCAGTAATCTTGTTGTTACTGGACTTAGCAACATTATTCTGGATATGTCTCCTCAGGCATGGGAAACAAAAGCAATTAAACTACTGGGAGCACGTCAAAACATAAAGCTTTCCATCTGACTTGATTTTGGCTCAGGTCATGATCTCAGGGTCGTGAGACTGAGCCCTGTGTTGCGCTCTGTGCTCAGCATGGAGTCTGCTTAAGATTCTAAGTCTCTTTCTCCTCCCCCTGCTAGTGCATGCTCTAGCTCTCTCTCTCAAAATAAAATATTTTTAAAAAATAAAAATGAAAATAAAAGATAAAAAGCTTTTGCACAGCAAAGGAAACCATGGACAAAACAAAAAAAGCAACCTACTGAATGGGAGAACATATCTGCAAATGATATATCTGGTAAGGGGTTAATGTCCAAAATATACAAAGAACCTATACAACTTAACACCAAACAACAAATAATCCAATTAAAAAAATGGGCAGAGGACCTGAATAGACATTTTTCTGAAGAAGACATGCAGAGGGCTGACAGACAAATGAAAAGATGCTCAACATCAGGGGCACCTGGATGTCTCAGTCAGTAGAGCATGTGACTGTTGATCTCAGGGTCATGAGTTGGAGGCCCCATGTGGGGCAGAGATTACTTAAAAAAAAAAAAAAAGATGCTCAATGTCATTAATCATCAGGTAAATGCAAATTAAAACCATAAGGAGATATTATCTTATAGCTGTCAGAATGGCTAGTATGAAAAAGAAAAGAAGTAACAAGTGTTGGCAAGGATGTGGACAAAAGGGAACCTTTGTCCACTGCTGATGGGAATGTAAGTTGGTACAGCCACTGAGGTTCCTCAAAAAATTAAAAGTAGAAATACCATATGATCCAGTAAATCCACTACTGAGTATTTACCCAAAGAAAATTAAAAGACTAATTTGAAAAGACATATGTACCCCTATGTTTACTGCAGCATTATTTATAATCGTTAAAAGCAAAATTTAAAAAAAGCAACCCAAGTGTCCACTGATAAATGAGGAAAGAATATATGGTATATATACAAAATATACTATTATTCAGCTGTAAAAACGGAGGAGATTGTGCCATTTGAGACAACATAGATGGACCTAAAGAGTATTATGCTAAGTGAAACAATTCAGGCAGAGGAAGACAAAAACCATATGATTTCACCTATATGTGGAATCTAAAAAACAAAACAAAGGAACAGACAAAGCAGAAACAGAACCATAAGTAGAGAGCAGGTAGTTGCTAGAGTGCAGGGGGATGGAGGGATGGGCAAAA